TCGGTTTCGCCAAAGTGCTCGGACGGGGTCGGGAGTGGTGTCTATGCACTCGGGGCGGAGCGCACAGCACGGGAAAAATATAGAAAAAATTCTAGGACCGATAGGTGGGGAGGAAAGTTAGGTAAAGTGGGGGGAGTTAGGTTAGGTTAGTGTATAGAATTTCGGGGGTAGGGGGCGAGGGAGCGGCGAACGACTGCAGGAAACGAGAAAACTATAAGACTGGACAAGATTACTAGCGAAAAAGTTGGAAAAATTTTGAAAATTTTGAAGATTTTTGACTTAGTTTAGAGTTAGGTTTCGCAAAGAGCAATAGGGGGTTGTAAGGGGTGGGGGGGTGTAGAAGACTTTAATAACTAACTATAGGAATCAGCAAGACTATGAATTTAGAAACGGGAACAAGAGAAATTTCAATGAAATTCGAGAAAATTTTTTTTTCAATTGTATATTTACCTACAAAACGTTAGCAGAGCTTAGGTAACCTCGGTTTCGCCAAAGTGCTCGTACGGGGTCGGGAGTGGTGTCTATGCACTCGGGGCGGAGCGCACAGCACGGGAAAAATATAGAAAAAATTCTAGGACCGATAGGTGGGGAGGAAAGTTAGGTAAAGTGGGGGGAGTTAGGTTAGGTTAGTGTATAGAATTTCGGGGGTAGGGGGCGAGGGAGCGGCGAACGACTGCAGGAAACGAGAAAACTATAAGACTGGACAAGATTACTAGCGAAAAAGTTGGAAAAATTTTGAAAATTTTGAAGATTTTTGACTTAGTTTAGAGTTAGGTTTCGCAAAGAGCAATAGGGGGTTGTAAGGGGTGGGGGGGTGTAGAAGACTTTAATAACTATAGGAATCAGCAAGACTATGAATTTAGAAAAACAAGAGAAATATGAAATTCGAGAAAATTTTTTTTTCAATTGTATATTTACCTACAAAACGTTAGCAGAGCCGATGCTCGTACGGGGTCGGGGATGCACTCGGGGCGGAGCGCACAGCACGGGAAAAATATAGAAAAAATTCTAGGACCGATAGGTGGGGAGGAAAGTTAGGGGGGGGGAGTTAGGTTAGGTTAGTGTATAGAATTTCGGGGGTAGGGGGCGAGGGAGCGGCGAACGACTGCAGGAAACGAGAAAACTATAAGACTGGACAAGATTACTAGCGAAAAAGTTGGAAAAATTTTGAAAATTTTGAAGATTTTTGACTTAGTTTAGAGTTAGGTTTCGCAAAGAGCAATAGGGGGTTGTAAGGGGTGGGGGGGTGTAGAAGACTTTAATAACAATAGGAATCAGCAAGACTATGAATTTAGAAACGGGAACAAGAGAAATTTCAATGAAATTCGAGAAAATTTTTTTTCAATTGTATATTTACCTACAAAACGTTAGCAGAGCTTAGGTAACCTCGGTTTCGCCAAAGTGCTCGTACGGGGTCGGGAGTGGTGTCTATGCACTCGGGGCGGAGCGCACAGCACGGGAAAAATATAGAAAAAATTCTAGGACCGATAGGTGGGGAGGAAAGTTAGGTAAAGTGGGGGGAGTTAGGTTAGGTTAGTGTATAGAATTTCGGGGGTAGGGGGCGAGGGAGCGGCGAACGACTGCAGGAAACGAGAAAACTATAAGACTGGACAAGATTACTAGCGAAAAAGTTGGAAAAATTTTGAAAATTTTGAAGATTTTTGACTTAGTTTAGAGTTAGGTTTCGCAAAGAGCAATAGGGGGTTGTAAGGGGTGGGGGGGTGTAGAAGACTTTAATAACTATAGGAATCAGCAAGACTATGAATTTAGAAACGGGAACAAGAGAAATTTCAATGAAATTCGAGAAAATTTTTTTTTCAATTGTATATTTACCTACAAAACGTTAGCAGAGCTTAGGTAACCTCGGTTTCGCCAAAGTGCTCGTACGGGGTCGGGAGTGGTGTCTATGCACTCGGGGCGGAGCGCACAGCACGGGAAAAATATAGAAAAAATTCTAGGACCGATAGGTGGGGAGGAAAGTTAGGTAAAGTGGGGGGAGTTAGGTTAGGTTAGTGTATAGAATTTCGGGGGTAGGGGGCGAGGGAGCGGCGAACGACTGCAGGAAACGAGAAAACTATAAGACTGGACAAGATTACTAGCGAAAAAGTTGGAAAAATTTTGAAAATTTTGAAGATTTTTGACTTAGTTTAGAGTTAGGTTTCGCAAAGAGCAATAGGGGGTTGTAAGGGGTGGGGGGGTGTAGAAGACTTTAATAACTATAGGAATCAGCAAGACTATGAATTTAGAAACGGGAACAAGAGAAATTTCAATGAAATTCGAGAAAATTTTTTTTCAATTGTATATTTACCTCGAGAAAATTTTTTTCTCGGGGTATCTGCCGCACCCCGTTGTATGTAGGCCGCACGCAGAAGCAGGGGGCTCCCCTGCGTGTGAAACCTTTCCCCCATACTCGTGGGAACAAGTATGGAAATATCAAACACAAAAACAAAACCCAAAATTGATGTCGTGTCCGAGAAGGACGGTGAGAAAGTAGTGCCTGAGAAGGGCGGAGAGAAGTTGGTGCCTGAGAAGGGCGTAGAAAGTAAGAAGTCGGGGCTAGAACTCCTGAAAGAGTGTTCGGTAGTACTGGGCGAAGATGTTGGTCTCTTAGGTCGTCGTCGTACTCGCCATAGTCTGCTGAGAGCGGTTGCGGGCGAGATCGACTGCGGGTCTACGCGGTCGAGCTCGTGTGCAACCCCAACTGAGGAGATGGAAATGGAACCGTTGCCGTCCACGTCTGGTCTCCGCTCCTGGCGTAAAAGACACATTGCTGAGTCTGACACAGACTCTATAGTTGAGGATGAGGGCGATGTCCAGTCCGCCCGCAAAAGGTCCGGCAGCCCTAGAGTGGGGTCGAGAGCAAGTTCTCGCACAAGGAAGAAGGAGGAATGTCGGCGGCAGTTCAGCTACCGATTCTTTGAGGACGATGTAACCGGAGCGGTCCCTGGGGCGGGTGCTACCAAGTCTGGATTACCTCCAGCGACGGCCCTGGATTATCATGAGAGTGACTTCTTCTCCTCAGGGGATGAAGCGTCGGATATACTGTCGGAGTCGGATAGGCCGACGGCGTCTGGCGCCACTGCCACTGCCGCCGCCGAGAATAAGAATAAAGTGGCCGAGGAGGTAATCCGCAGGGCGAAGTGTCTCGTCCACCGGCAAGCGGATGCTCTCACTGATGTTGTGAAGAAGGCAGGGAACCTCAAAGGGACCACCATAAGGACCCTGAAAGAGGGTTTGGCCGGGATCACACAGGTTGTGGACACCTTGGAGGGGGATCTATTTCCGACGTCGGTCTCTCCACTGGTCTCAAAGAACCTGAGACTTGAGCAGGAAGTCGAGTACCTGCGTCGGCAGTTGGCCGAGGCTCGTGCTGCCAAGCCAGCTGCCAAGCCAGCGGCCAATGCCGGTATCTCGGCGGATGTTGTCCCTGTCGTAGGGAGTGAGGCGAGCGCGTTCCGCGCTCAAATAATGAGGGACGTCGGCGGAATCGTCCGCCAAATGGTAGGGACGCTTATGAAGGAGGTGAAAGAGATGATCTCTGCTCTCCCCTCCACTGAGAAGGTGTCGTCTGCGTCTGCGGTCTCCACGCAAACCCTGCCAGAGGCTGGAACAATGGCGTCAGATGTGCCCGACCCCCCTAGAGTCGGCGACCGGGGTTCTCTTCCCCAGTCAGAAACGGGTCGGGCCAAGAAAAAGAAGGCGAAGAAGACGCCCGTCACACCGGCGCCTTCTGGACAGCCCGAGTCGGTAGCAACAACATCCGCTCAGCCACCTGTGCAGGCGACCGCGTCCTCCTGGGCGACGGTCGTAAAAGGAAAACGGGGCAAGACCGTCAGTGTTCCCGAAGGGCAGCCTGTGGCTGTCAACCCTCCGGTGACGAAAGCCGGTTCGGCCCCCTCGAAGAAGGCAAAGAAGACGAGCGCACCCTCGCCTTCTAAACTGAAACCGCCTCGCTCCGCGGCGGTTATTATTACGTTGGACCCGGAGGCGGAAAGGGAGGGTGTCGCGTATGCGAATGTCCTTGCGGAGGCCAAGAGAAGGATCGATCTCCGCGCATTGGGGATCGAAGATATGCGGTTTCGCACCGCGATCACCGGCGGTAAGGTTCTAGAGGTTCCAGGTGCTGATGGCGCGGAGAAGGCCGACGTTCTGGCGTCGAAGCTCCGGGAGTTCATCCCGGAGAATATGGCCAAAATCTCCAGGCCCGTAAAGTCCGCGGAGATGCGGATATCGGGCCTGGACGACAGTGTTACGTCGGAGGAAGTGGTCGCTGCGGTTGCCCGGGAGGGCGGCTGTCAGGTGGACCAAGTGCGAGTCGGAGAGGTTCGACGTACTAGATCTGGGGTGGGCACTTGCTGGGTTAAAGCTCCATTGCAAGCAGTTAAGAAGATGACGGTCGCCGGCCGAGTTCGTATAGGCTGGGTTTCGGCGAAAGCAGAGCTCCTGCGGCAGAGGCCGCTTCGGTGCTTCCGCTGCTTGGAGGAAGGACATGTGCGGGCATCCTGCAGTCATGAGCAGGACCGCAGCGGTCTATGTTACCGTTGCGGAAACGAAGGCCATAAGGCGGCGATGTGCGCGGCCGACCCAAAGTGCGCTGTGTGTTCAGCGCAGGGCCGGCCGTCGGACCATTGGGTGGGGTCCAAGGCCTGCACTCCTCCTAAGAAGCGTAAGAAGCAACCGGTGAAATTGCCGAACCCAGCAGGCCGGGTGAGTGTGGAGGGAGAGGAGATGGAAACGGGCAGGTAGTCCCGCCCTCCTCTCCGGCGATAATTACATCGCCACAGGGCCGGGGTGACGACTGCGGGGGCAGTCCCACCCCATACCAACATGGCCCTGGGAAGTCGCGCGCGCATCCCCGCGCGCTTCCCCTAGACGGGGGTGGGTATTCAACATCTCGTACCCGCCCCAAACTGAGTCGGGGCCCGCGAGCCGGTGCGGGCCAACGCCGTTGGGATCCCGGTGGACTACGCAAGGGAACCCGGGTCCCCAACACAAAGGCGCGGCGAGGGAATGCCATGTGGTTTTTAGCCGGTAGGAGTCCGGCAGTATTCACACCCTCCCCCGGGGGTGTGTCTCTGCATGACGCATTTTCCACATGTAAAAAAAAAAAAAAAAAAAAAGGTTAGGTTAGGTTAGGTTAGGTTAGGTTAGGTTAGGTTAGGTTAGGTTAGGTTAGGTTAGGTTAGGTTAGGTTAGGTTGGGGTGCTGGGTCGGAAAACCTCCAAGAGTGCCCTGGCTCATTGTACGGTCACTTGTCCTGGTGCGGATACGTCCGGCGGGAACGGTGGCTGACAATGGCTGGGGCCTGGTGCATCCTGGGCAACGGCGGTAAGTGACTTCTCGCTATTTAGAGATCTCACTTACCGACGGCTAATATTCCGACAGAGGTGGTGAGCGGCGAGCCCAAGTTATGGGGTTTGTCGTGTTTTCGTTGGGGGCGGGTTTTGTTCCGCGACTTCTCGTAGTGGGAGTGGTCGGCGGGCCCGGTGAGTGCTTCGTTGCGCAGCCGGGCTGGTTTCAGTGCCACCGCCGAAAAACCGTAATCCCTCGCGGAGGTGTGGTCATGTTTCGCACCCGAGTGAGGGGACGGGGGCCTTGGCTTAACCGCCTGGGCCGCGAGGAGTAAACCTCTATAAAAATCCTCTTGTGTAAGCTTCGGTGCCTGGCGATGCATAGTTCGTTGTGCGGTGCACGCTACCGGACATCATAAGTTCGGTTAGCGTGTTCTGTGCTGCGGGCGGGTCGGTGGAGTATCATCGGCCGCAAGGGCACCAACCTCGGGGTATCTGCCGCACCCCGTTGTATGTAGGCCGCACGCAGAAGCAGGGGGCTCCCCTGCGTGTGAAACCTTTCCCCCATACTCGTGGGAACAAGTATGGATATGTCAAAAACAAAACCCAAAATTGATGTCGTGTCCGAGAAGGACGGTGAGAAGTCGGTGCCCGCGAAGGGCGGAGAGAAGTCGGTGCCCGTGAAGGGCGGTGTTAGTAAAAAGAAGTCGGAAGTGGAGGTTCTGAAAGAGTGCTCCGTTGTACTGGGCGAGGATGTTGTGGAGTTAGGTCGCCGTCGCACTCGTCACAGCTTGTTGAGGGCGGTTGCGGGCGAGACCGACTGCGGGTCTTCGCGGTCGAGCTTGTGCGCATCCCCAATTGATGAAGGCATGGAGACGGAGCAGTTGCCGTCAACATCTGGACTACGCTCCTGGCGCAAAAGGCGTCTTAACGAGTCCGATACGGACTCCACGGTCGAGGATGAGGGCGATGTCCAATCCGTCCGCAAAAGGTCCGGCAGCCCTAGAGTGGGATCGAGAGCCAGTTCGATCGCTAGAAAGAAGGAGGAGTGTCGGCAATTCATATACCGATTCTTCGAAGATGAAGGGACAGCCGCTGGCAAATCTGGTCTGCCCCCAGTGACGGTCTTAGATTATCACGAGAGTGATTTCTTTTCTTCCGGAGATGAGGAGCCAGACAAACCGACGGAGCTGGACAGGCCGACGGCATCTGGCGCCACTACCACCGCTGCCGCCGGTGACAAGAACAAAGTGGCCGAGGAGGTACTCCATAGGGCGAAACTTCTCGTCCATCGGCAAGCGGATGCTCTTAGCGACGTCGTTAAGAAGGCGGGAAATCTCAAAGGGACCACCATAAGGACCCTGAAAGAGGGTTTGGCCGGGATCACACAGGTTGTGGACACCTTGGAGGGGGATCTATTTCCGACGTCGGTCTCTCCACTGGTCTCAAAGAACCTGAGACTTGAGCAGGAAGTCGAGTACCTGCGTCGGCAGTTGGCCGAGGCTCGTGCTGCCAAGCCAGCTGCCAAGCCAGCGGCCCAGGCCGGTATCTCGGCAGACGGTGTTCCTGTTGTAGGAAGTGATGCGAGCGCAGTCCGTGCTCAGATAATGAGAGATGTCGGCGGCATCGTCCGCCAAATGGTAGGGACATTTATGAAAGAGGTGAGAGAAATGATCTCCATTCGCCCCCCTCCAGAGAAGGTGTCGTCCTCGTCTGCGGTCTCCACGCAAACTTTGCCCGAGGCCGGGAGAATGGCGTCAGATGTGCCCGACACCCCTAGAGTCGGCGACCGGGGTTCTGTTCCCCAGTCAGAAACGGGTCGGGCCAAGAAGAAGAAGGCGAAGAAGACGCCCGTCACACCGGCGCCCTCTGGACAGCCCGAGCCGGTGGCTTCGACCTCCGCTCAAACGTCTGTGCAGCCGACCGCGTCCTCCTGGGCGACGGTCGTAAAAGGAAAACGGGGCAAGACCGTCAGTGTTCCCGAAGGGCAGCCTGTGGCTGTCAACCCTCCGGTGACGAAAGCCGGTTCGGCCCCCTCGAAGAAGGCAAAGAAGACGAGCGCACCCTCGCCTTCTAAACTGAAACCGCCTCGCTCCGCGGCGGTGATTATTACGTTGGACCCGGAGGCGGAAAGGGAGGGTGTCGCGTATGCGAATGTCCTTGCGGAGGCCAAGAGAAGGATCGATCTCCGCGCATTGGGGATCGAAGATATGCGGTTTCGCACCGCGATCACCGGCGGTAAGGTCTAGAGGTTCCAGGTGCTGATGGCGCGGAGAAGGCCGACGTTCTGGCGTCGAAGCTCCGGGAGTTCATCCCGGAGAATATGGCCAAAATCTCCAGGCCCGTAAAGTCCGCGGAGATGCGGATATCGGGCCTGGACGACAGTGTTACGTCGGAGGAAGTGGCCGCTGCGGTTGCCCGGGAGGGCGGCTGTCAGGTGGACCAAGTGCGAGTCGGAGAGGTTCGACGTACTAGATCTGGGGTGGGCACTTGCTGGGTTAAAGGTCCGTTGCAAGTCAGTTAAGAAGATGACGGTCGCCGGCCGAGTTCGTATAGGCTGGGTTTCGGCGAAAGCAGAGCTCCTGCGGCAGAGGCCGCTTCGGTGCTTCCGCTGCTTGGAGGAAGGACATGTGCGGGCATCCTGCAGTCATGAGCAGGACCGCAGCGGTCTATGTTACCGCTGCGGAAACGAAGGCCATAAGGCGGCGATGTGCGCGGCCGACCCAAAGTGCGCTGTGTGTTCAGCGCAGGGCCGGCCGTCGGACCATTGGGTGGGGTCCAAGGCCTGCACTCCTCCTAAGAAGCGTAAGAAGCAACCGGTGAAATTGCCGAACCCAGCAGGCCGGGTGAGTGTGGAGGGAGAGGAGATGGAAACGGGCAGGTAGTCCCGCCCTCCTCTCCGGCGATAATTACATCGCCACAGGGCCGGGGTGACGACTGCGGGGGCAGTCCCACCCCATACCAACATGGCCCTGGGAAGTCGCGCGCGCATCCCCGCGCGCTTCCCCCTAGACGGGGGTGGGTATTCAACATCTCGTACCCGCCCCAAACTGAGTCGGGGCCCGCGAGCCGGTGCGGGCCAACGCCGTTGGGGATCCCGGTGGACTACGCAAGGGAACCCGGGTCCCCAACATTAAGGCGCGGCGAGGGAATGCCATGTGGTTTTTAGCCGGTAGGAGTCCGGCAGTATTCACACCCTCCCCCGGGGGTGTGTCTCTGCATGACGCATTTTCCAAAAAAAAAAAAAAAAAAAAAAAAAAAAAAAAAAAAAAAAAAAAAAAAAAGGTTAGGTTAGGTTGGGGTGCTGGGTCGGAAAACCTCCAAGAGTGCCCTGGCTCATTGTACGGTCACTTGTCCTGGTGCGGATACGTCCGGCGGGAACGGTGGCTGACAATGGCTGGGGCCTGGTGCATCCTGGGCAACGGCGGTAAGTGACTTCTCGCTATTTAGAGATCTCACTTACCGACGGCTAATATTCCGACAGAGGTGGTGAGCGGCGAGCCCAAGTTATGGGGTTTGTCGTGTTTTGTTGGGGGCGGGTTTTGTTCCGCGACTTCTCGTAGTGGGAGTGGTCGGCGGGCCCGGTGAGTGCTTCGTTGCGCAGCCGGGCTGGTTTCAGTGCCACCGCCGAAAAACCGTAATCCCTCGCGGAGGTGTGGTCATGTTTCGCACCCGAGTGAGGGGACGGGGGCCTTGGCTTAACCGCCTGGGCCGCGAGGAGTAAACCTCTATAAAAATCCTCTTGTGTAAGCTTCGGTGCCTGGCGATGCATAGTTCGTTGTGCGGTGCACGCTACCGGACATCATAAGTTCGGTTAGCGTGTTCTGTGCTGCGGGCGGGTCGATGGAGTATCATCGGCCGCAAGGGCACCAACCTCGGGGTATCTGCCGCACCCCGTTGTATGTAGGCCGCACGCAGAAGCAGGGGGCTCCCCTGCGTGTGAAACCTTTCCCCCATACTCGTGGGAACAAGTATGGATATGTCAAAAACAAAACCCAAAATTGATGTCGTGTCCGAGAAGGACGGTGAGAAGTCGGTGCCCGCGAAGGGCGGAGAGATGTCGGTGCCCGTGAAGGGCGGTGTTAGTAAAAGAAGTCGGAAGTGGAGGTTCTGAAAGAGTGCTCCGTTGTACTGGGCGAGGATGTTGTGGAGTTAGGTCGCCGTCGCACTCGTCACAGCTTGTTGAGGGCGGTTGCGGGCGAGACCGACTGCGGGTCTTCGCGGTCGAGCTTGTGCGCATCCCCAATTGATGAAGGCATGGAGACGGAGCAGTTGCCGTCCACATCTGGACTACGCTCCTGGCGCAAAAGGCGTCTTAACGAGTCCGATACGGACTCCACGGTCGAGGATGAGGGCGATGTCCAATCCGTCCGCAAAAGGTCCGGCAGCCCTAGAGTGGGATCGAGAGCCAGTTCGATCGCTAGAAAGAAGGAGGAGTGTCGGCAATTCACATACCGATTTTTCGAAGATGAAGGGACAGCCGCTGGCAAATCTGGTCTGCCCCCAGTGACGGTCTTAGATTATCACGAGAGTGATTTCTTTTCTTCCGGAGATGAGGAGTCAGACAAACCGACGGAGCTTGACAGGCCGACGGCATCTGGCGCCACTGCCACCGCTGCCGCCGGTGACAAGAACAAAGTGGCCGAGGAGGTACTCCATAGGGCGAAACTTCTCGTCCATCGGCAAGCGGATGCTCTTAGCGACGTCGTTAAGAAGGCGGGAAATCTCAAAGGGACCACCATAAGGACCCTGAAAGAGGGTTTGGCCGGGATCACACAGGTTGTGGACACCTTGGAGGGGGATCTATTTCCGACGTCGGTCTCTCCACTGGTCTCAAAGAACCTGAGACTTGAGCAGGAAGTCGAGTACCTGCGTCGGCAGTTGGCCGAGGCTCGTGCTGCCAAGCCAGCTGCCAAGCCAGCGGCCCAGGCCGGTATCTCGGCAGACGGTGTTCCTGTTGTAGGAAGTGATGCGAGCGCATTCCGTGCTCAAATAATGAGAGATGTCGGCGGCATCGTCCGCCAAATGGTAGGGACATTTATGAAAGAGGTGAGAGAAATGATCTCCATTCGCCCCCCTCCAGAGAAGGTGTCGTCCTCGTCTGCGGTCTCCACGCAAACTTTGCCCGAGGCCGGGACAATGGCGTCAGATGTGCCCGACACCCCTAGAGTCGGCGACCGGGGTTCTCTTCCCCAGTCAGAAACGGGTCGGGCCAAGAAGAAGAAGGCGAAGAAGACGCCCGTCACACCGGCGCCCTCTGGACAGCCCGAGCCGGTGGCTTCGACCTCCGCTCAAACGTCTGTGCAGCCGACCGCGTCCTCCTGGGCGACGGTCATAAAAGGAAAACGGGGCAAGACCGTCAGTGTTCCCGAAGGGCAGCCTGTGGCTGCGAACCCTCCGGTGACGAAAGCCGGTTCGGCCCCCTCGAAGAAGGCAAAGAAGACGAGCGCACCCTCGCCTTCTAAACTGAAACCGCCTCGCTCCGCGGCGGTGATTATTACGTTGGACCCGGAGGCGGAAAGGGAGGGTGTCGCGTATGCGAATGTCCTTGCGGAGGCCAAGAGAAGGATCGATCTCCGCGCATTGGGGATCGAAGATATGCGGTTTCGCACCGCGATCACCGGCGGTAAGGTCCTAGAGGTCCCAGGTGCTGATGGCGCGGAGAAGGCCGACGTTCTGGCGTCGAAGCTCCGGGAGTTCATCCCGGAGAATATGGCCAAAATCTCCAGGCCCGTAAAGTCCGCGGAGATGCGGATATCGGGCCTGGACGACAGTGTTACGTCGGAGGAAGTGGCCGCTGCGGTTGCCCGGGAGGGCGGCTGTCAGGTGGACCAAGTGCGAGTCGGAGAGGTTCGACGTACTAGATCTGGGGTGGGCACTTGCTGGGTTAAAGCTCCATTGCAAGCAGTTAAGAAGATGACGGTCGCCGGCCGAGTTCGTATAGGCTGGGTTTCGGCGAAAGCAGAGCTCCTGCGGCAGAGGCCGCTTCGGTGCTTCCGCTGCTTGGAGGAAGGACATGTGCGGGCATCCTGCAGTCATGAGCAGGACCGCAGCGGTCTATGTTACCGCTGCGGAAACGAAGGCCATAAGGCGGCGATGTGCGCGGCCGACCCAAAGTGCGCTGTGTGTTCAGCGCAGGGCCGGCCGTCGGACCATTGGGTGGGGTCCAAGGCCTGCACTCCTCCTAAGAAGCGTAAGAAGCAACCGGTGAAATTGCCGAACCCAGCAGGCCGGGTGAGTGTGGAGGGAGAGGAGATGGAAACGGGCAGGTAGTCCCGCCCTCCTCTCCGGCGATAATTACATCGCCACAGGGCCGGGGTGACGACTGCGGGGGCAGTCCCACCCCATACCAACATGGCCCTGGGAAGTCGCGCGCGCATCCCCGCGCGCTTCCCCTAGACGGGGGTGGGTATTCAACATCTCGTACCCGCCCCAAACTGAGTCGGGGCCCGCGAGCCGGTGCGGGCCAACGCCGTTGGGATCCCGGTGGACTACGCAAGGGAACCCGGGTCCCCAACATTAAGGCGCGGCGAGGGAATGCCATGTGGTTTTTAGCCGGTAGGAGTCCGGCAGTATTCACACCCTCCCCCGGGGGTGTGTCTCTGCATGACGCATTTTCCACATGTAAAAAAAAAAAAAAAAAAAAAAAAAAAGGTTAGGTTAGGTTAGGTTAGGTTAGGTTAGGTTAGGTTAGGTTAGGTTAGGTTAGGTTAGGTTAGGGTCTGGGTCGGAAAACCTCCAAGAGTGCCCTGGCTCATTGTACGGTCACTTGTCCTGGTGCGGATACGTCCGGCGGGAACGGTGGCTGACAATGGCTGGGGCCTGGTGCATCCTGGGCAACGGCGGTAAGTGACTTCTCGCTGTCGAGATCTCACTTACCGACGGCTAATATTCCGACAGAGGTGGTGAGCGGCGAGCCCAAGTTATGGGGTTTGTCGTGTTTTCGTTGGGGGCGGGTTTTGTTCCGCGACTTCTCGTAGTGGGAGTGGTCGGCGGGCCCGGTGAGTGCTTCGTTGCGCAATCGGGCTGGTTTCAGTGCCACCGCCGAAAAACCGTAATCCCTCGCGAAGGTGTGGTCATGTTTCGCACCGGAGTGAGGGGACGGGGGCCTTGGCTTAATCGCCTGGGCCGCGAGGAGTAAACCTCTATAAAAATCCTCTTGTGTAAGCTTCGGTGCCTGGCGATGCATAGTTCGTTGTGCGGTGCACGCTACCGGACATCATAAGTTCGGTTAGCGTGTTCTGTGCCGCGGGCGGGTCGGTGGAGTATCATCGGCCGCAAGGGCACCAACCTCGGGGTATCTGCCGCACCCCGTTGTATGTAGGCCGCACGCAGAAGCAGGGGGCTCCCCTGCGTGTGAAACCTTTCCCCCATACTCGTGGGAACAAGTATGGAAATATCAAAAACAAAAACAAAACCCAAAATTGATGTCGTGTCTGAGAAGGACGGTGAGAAAGTAGTGCCTGAGAAGGGCGGAGAGAAGTTGGTGCCTGAGAAGGGCGTAGAAAGTAAGAAGTCGGGGCTAGAACTCCTGAAAGAGTGTTCGGTAGTACTGGGCGAAGATGTTGGTCTCTTAGGTCGTCGTCGTACTCGCCATAGTCTGCTGAGAGCGGTTGCGGGCGAGATCGACTGCGGGTCTACGCGGTCGAGCTCGTGTGCAACCCCAACTGAGGAGATGGAAATGGAACCGTTGCCGTCCACGTCTGGTCTCCGCTCCTGGCGTAAAAGACACATTGCTGAGTCTGACACAGACTCTATAGTTGAGGATGAGGGCGATGTCCAGTCCGCCCGCAAAAGGTCCGGCAGCCCTAGAGTGGGGTCGAGAGCAAGTTCTCGCACAAGGAAGAAGGAGGAATGTCGGCGGCAGTTCAGCTACCGATTCTTTGAGGACGATGTAACCGGAGCGGTCCCTGGGGCGGGTGCTACCAAGTCTGGATTACCTCCAGCGACGGCCCTGGATTATCATGAGAGTGACTTCTTCTCCTCAGGGGATGAAGCGTCGGATATACTGTCGGAGTCGGATAGGCCGACGGCGTCTGGCGCCACTGCCACTGCCGCCGCCGAGAATAAGAATAAAGTGGCCGAGGAGGTAATCCGCAGGGCGAAGTGTCTCGTCCACCGGCAAGCGGATGCTCTCACTGATGTTGTGAAGAAGGCAGGGAACCTCAAAGGGACCACCATAAGGACCCTGAAAGAGGGTTTGGCCGGGATCACACAGGTTGTGGACACCTTGGAGGGGGATCTATTTCCGACGTCGGTCTCTCCACTGGTCTCAAAGAACCTGAGACTTGAGCAGGAAGTCGAGTACCTGCGTCGGCAGTTGGCCGAGGCTCGTGCTGCCAAGCCAGCTGCCAAGCCAGCGGCCAATGCCGGTATCTCGGCGGATGTTGTCCCTGTCGTAGGGAGTGAGGCGAGCGCGTTCCGCGCTCAAATAATGAGGGACGTCGGCGGAATCGTCCGCCAAATGGTAGGGACGCTTATGAAGGAGGTGAAAGAGATGATCTCTGCTCTCCCCTCCACTGAGAAGGTGTCGTCTGCGTCAGCGGTCTCCACGCAAACCCTGCCAGAGGCTGGAACAATGGCGTCAGATGTGCCCGACCCCCCTAGAGTCGGCGACCGGGGTTCTCTTCCCCAGTCAGAAACGGGTCGGGCCAAGAAAAAGAAGGCGAAGAAGACGCCCGTCACACCGGCGCCTTCTGGACAGCCCGAGTCGGTAGCAACAACATCCGCTCAGCCACCTGTGCAGGCGACCGTGTCCTCCTGGGCGACGGTCGTAAAAGGAAAACGGGGCAAGACCGTCAGTGTTCCCGAAGGGCAGCCTGTGGCTGTCAACCCTCCGGTGACGAAAGCCGGTTCGGCCCCCTCGAAGAAGGCAAAGAAGACGAGCGCACCCTCGCCTTCTAAACTAAAACCGCCTCGCTCCGCGGCGGTTATTATTACGTTGGACCCGGAGGCGGAAAGGGAGGGTGTCGCGTATGCGAATGTCCTTGCGGAGGCCAAGAGAAGGATCGATCTCCGCGCATTGGGGATCGAAGATATGCGGTTTCGCACCGCGATCACCGGCGGTAAGGTTCTAGAGGTTCCAGGTGCTGATGGCGCGGAGAAGGCCGACGTTCTGGCGTCGAAGCTCCGGGAGTTCATCCCGGAGAATATGGCCAAAATCTCCAGGCCCGTAAAGTCCGCGGAGATGCGGATATCGGGCCTGGACGACAGTGTTACGTCGGAGGAAGTGGTCGCTGCGGTTGCCCGGGAGGGCGGCTGTCAGGTGGACCAAGTGCGAGTCGGAGAGGTTCGACGTACTAGATCTGGGGTGGGCACTTGCTGGGTTAAAGCTCCATTGCAAGCAGTTAAGAAGATGACGGTCGCCGGCCGAGTTCGTATAGGCTGGGTTTCGGCGAAAGCAGAGCTCCTGCGGCAGAGGCCGCTTCGGTGCTTCCGCTGCTTGGAGGAAGGACATGTGCGGGCATCCTGCAGTCATGAGCAGGACCGCAGCGGTCTATGTTACCGCTGCGGAAACGAAGGCCATAAGGCGGCGATGTGCGCGGCCGACCCAAAGTGCGCTGTGTGTTCAGCGCAGGGCCGGCCGTCGGACCATTGGGTGGGGTCCAAGGCCTGCACTCCTCCTAAGAAGCGTAAGAAGCAACCGGTGAAATTGCCGAACCCAGCAGGCCGGGTGAGTGTGGAGGGAGAGGAGATGGAAACGGGCAGGTAGTCCCGCCCTCCTCTCCGGCGATAATTACATCGCCACAGGGCCGGGGTGACGACTGCGGGGGCAGTCCCACCCCATACCAACATGGCCCTGGGAAGTCGCGCGCGCATCCCCGCGCGCGCTTCCCCTAGACGGGGGTGGGTATTCAACATCTCGTACCCGCCCCAAACTGAGTCGGGGCCCGCGAGCCGGTGCGGGCCAACGCCGTTGGGATCCCGGTGGACTACGCAAGGGAACCCGGGTCCCCAACACAAAGGCGCGGCGAGGGAATGCCATGTGGTTTTTAGCCGGTAGGAGTCCGGCAGTAT